TTGTATTTACTGTAACCAATAGATTACAAATGAGCTTCTTTGATCTGGATGGCCTGGAGAGATTGTTAGAAGTCATTTGTTTCCCGCCTTGATTTTTCTTGGAATTTGGAAGTATCACTCTAAAGTTTATTGAAAGAACAGCAGATAGAAAGTGCAAAAACACTTGTGAAAAATGAGAAAGAATAGACCTACTCTTCCAGTTAGTAAAATTTATAAAATTATAATAATGAAGATAAAATAGTATGTGACTGTCACAGGAATACACAATTACCTAAATAGAATGGATAGCTCCCATATAAACACTATCGTAATAAAAACTTCACATGAAAGTGGAAACACCAAACACAAAAATGGAAAAGAGGAATTATTTAACAAATGGTAAAACAAAGTATTGGATAGCTTATTAGCAGTTTTGGAGGGAGGGTAGAATAGCAAATCATAGATGCTTCGGGGTTTAAATATAGAGAAAGGAAGAGAAAAGGAAAGACAGGTAAATTAAAATAAGAAAAAGAACTAGAATTCAATGTCATGAATTGACCTGGGTTAACTTTTTAAACTTTTCAACTAAAATATCATTAATGCTTCTTTTTTTTGAGACAGAGTCTCACTCTGTCGCCCAGGCTGGAGTGCAGTGGTGCGATCTCAACTCACTGCAACCTCCACTTCCCAGGTTCAAGTGATTCTCCACCTCAGCCTCCCGAGTAGTTGGGATTACAAGTGCCCGCCATCACGCCTGGCTAATTTTTGTATTTTTAGTAGAGATGGGGTTTCACCAGCTTGGCCAGACTGGTCACCAACTCCTGAATTCAGATGATCTGCCCGCCTCGGTCTCCCAAAGTGCTGGGATTACAGGCGTGAGCCACTGCACTCGGCCTACCGTTAACACTTCTATTAAATAAACTGAAAGAGGGGAGAAACTGGGGAAAATATTGACTACCAATGACTTTTATTATTAGTGTTTACATTATATGAAAAGTATCTCAACAGATCACCAAAGAAGAAACTGAACTAGTAAGTTTACATGTAGAAAAATACTCAACATCACTGAAAATCATAGTACTGCAGATTTAAATAAGGTACCATTTTGTGCTGTTAAATTAGCAAGAATGTTTTAAAGTTACTGGTGGGGTTATAGTAAAGTCATTATTATTCCCACATTGGTGATAATGGGGTAAGTAGCCCATTTTGGAAAGCAATTGTTACTAACATAGATATAAACAACATTTAAAAATGTGGAGTTTGACTCAGTGGTTCTACTCCTGGGGATGTAGCCTAAGAAATTAAAGAATGGAAAATGTTCCATGTTATCTGGATGTGCTATTCACTGGGGTATGAGTAATTCCCATACCTGGAAACTTATCATTCAGGGTGCTTCTTAAAAATGCGTTCCTGAAAGTTATGACTCCCCAGGTCTGCAGTGATGCTTAATCTGTATATTTATTAATCATACTAGGTGATTCTAATTAGCGTTGTACCTTTTAATGATTGGTATACTCTAAATGTCCAATCAATAACGGCAAATTGTGGTGTCTCTGCTTGGTGAAGAATGTTAGATAGCTTGTAAAAAAAAAACTTTCTTTGTTTTAGAATAAGATGGGAAATGAAAAAATTTTGTCTATACTAATTACAAGTAGGCAAAAGACAGCCACTATATAGGGGAACTAGAAGGGAACAGGGAAAAGTGAAATTGGTTAAATCTGTTGGGCCATCAACTGAATTTGTTCATAAGGGATTTTGTTTCTTTAGTCCCATATGCATTGCTCTCTTTATGTAATTTCTTTAAAAGTGAGTTTGAAATTGTTTTGAACTTTTTTCCAGGCATGTTACTACCAGATTCAGCGTGAGAAGCTTAACTAGGCTGCATAACAGCTTGAAAACTGGATTATCTACTACAGAGTGTTATAACACCATCTGGAGTCTTCCTGTAGTGGCAAAAAAGAACAGCGTTGAAATTGGAAAGGACTTTGTGTTATTTAGGTTGTTAGAATGAGCCTTACTAATAATAAGAGCCCTGAGCCAAGATAAAAGGACTGTATAGTTTAAAGGGAGGATTGAAAAGGAGGTAAAAAATCAGATTAGACCAGTTCTTGGCCTATGATAAGTTCTAAAAATACCATTCATCTGCTATTTGAAAAAAGAAGAGGATATCCCTTCCTACAGTAAAGGGTATGTCAGCTACGTGAAGTTGTAAGAAAAGCTTCCAGTAGAGCTTCTTATATTAAAGAAGTTGGTGGATATTTTTGAATTTCTGGTTTGCCTGAATCCACCTGCAGTTACCCCGATCCCTTTGCAAGAACCAGATCGTACTTGAAACTATAGTGACCACACTCTGCCTTCCTGAGTCCCTTCCAGTCATGTGTGCATCATGTTTCTTTGCCAAGGGAGGGGAGAAAGGAGCTTTTAAACTGCAGTTTTAACGTTTTCTAAGCTTTTTCTTTATGGGAGAGGTTCTGTGCAAAACTACCACATCCTGTCCCCGAAATGTGGAATGCATCCAAATAGGAGTCTTCTGCCTCTTGACTAAAAAGAACATAGGAATTTTGTTTTTGGTTTCTTTATCACGCTACAGAGAGTGAGTACACTGGAATTCAGACGCCAACTCTGAGCTGCTAGGAACCTCATTTGTCCATGCACAAACGCTGCATTCCAAGGCCTGTGAATGGCAGCCTGAGGAGGTCTTGCATGCAGGCTGTGTTTTCGAGCAGGACTAACAGTTGGGAAATAAGCAAAAAACTGCATCGATCCCCAGCCTGGTGGTGGTCTTCCCTGTACCTCACACTGAACTCAGGATGGGAAGAAAAAAGGAAACAAGCTTTGGCTTTTTCCATCTCAAAAGTATTGTGGCACCTCAACATTTCAGTGTTTTGCTTTTTAAAAAATGCCCTATTGTAAGTTGTTGGTTTATACTGTATAAGTAACACTAGTAGCTGTTTTGAATAACATAGGTGCTCTTCCTCATCTCATCTCCTACACCGTGGTGAGCATACAGAGTGTCCTGATTTATGTTAAGTGACTGAGATGATAATTACTTTTGGAAAAGGATCATGGTTTTTGCTCTACTTTATAATCAAGACAAGTGTTTATTAAAATACTGTTTTGGAATGTTGGCTGTAATGTAACAGCAATTTTCGTAATAAAAGGCATTCATCTTTATGTGGTTGTTTTATGATTATAGAAGAAATGAACAGGGCAGCCTAAAAAATGAAAGGAAACCCACACTTAGTATTTCTGTAGCCCACATTATAATCCATGCCTCTAAATATTGACCTGAGAAGTCCCTCTTCGGTTTTAGAAATCTCTGTCTTTAAAATAAACGTAAACCAATAGTTATAGCACCCTTTCTAGCAAAGAGCAAATTAACTTTCTGATCCCAATAACCCAAGGACATGGGTCTCAAAAGAAATCTATTATTTCTTTGAATAAAAAGCATATTTTGATGGTTACTCTTTATTTTTTTTTCCTCCTAAACAGATTGAGGGAAGGGAAGGTGAGGCTTTAAAATTCTGGTTAGAAACATTAGATATTATCTCCTAGTTGTAATGTTTTCTCAAGAGGCCTTTCCATCTTGCTGCTGCCTCTACCAGAATGTGCCTGTCCACTGTTGGAAGGGGACCAACCCTTAAAGATCCGTTTATGTTAAATACTTTGCATTTACATTGGAGATTGTTTTGAGTTTCTGAACAAACACGTAAATAACCACATTTGGCTGGTAAAGACAAATTTACAGAATATCTGACTCTGGGCGGGGGTGGATAATATGTGGAGATGGACAAACAAAAACTTTGAGACAAATTGACCCACTGTGAAGTTTTCCAATGATGATAGGCTGTCTCCGTTCTAGGAAAAGCCGTGTTACAATTCATCCTTTTACAGATGAAATTGTTCGGTTACTTTGGATTCTTCCTACTATATGCTTTTCAGATAGCATATTAAAATTATAAATTTTGAAGTGTATTGGAAGAAAAACCCTAAATCTCCAGGCCAATGTTTGTAAATAGAAGTCCCCGGCACTCCTGCAGCAGTTTACAATGATCATTCAGATGCGTAAAGAATGCTCACAGCAGCCCAAGGACGCAGGTGTTATCCCCATTTCCCCCCATTTTTCAGACAAGCAGTGACCAAGATTTGCTCACTGCCAGAGCTGGGACTCCAGCCTAGAACTTCCCTACTCCCTACTTCTCTAGAAGTCCAGTGCTTTTTGCTACTACAGCTGACAGAGATGTCATTTCATAGCTGGTTATGTATTGAAAGTTCTTAAAAGTGAGTTAAAAATGAAAATTGTATTGAAACAAGTGCTTTTCACAAAATATGCTGTACTCAAAACACGAATGTATCACATTCCCAGCTTGTGTTTTCATCTATGAGGGAGAGATAAGAAAAGCCATGTGTTTCATGTGGGTACAAGGGCTGATGACCCTCTGATAATTGCCATTTGGTCTCTACCTTTTGCCTTGCTGTCAGCAATACCTTCCTCTCCTTTCTGCAATATCCCCTTCCAAATGCTCTTCCCACTGAGCACTCCCTGCAGTATTGTTTTCAGATAAAGAAGTAGCTCCTATCTGAGATCGAAAACGCTATTTGTTAAGTTCAGAACAGTGGCTTAGGAGGGGATTGACCAGAAGGTACTGTTTTTGATGGGCTTCTGTTATTAGCCGAAGAGTCTTCAGTTGTTTTCTCACCATAACATGAGAGATTTAATAAGGGTAGTAGGTTATTGGATTATTTCCAGTCCCGCCACATTTTTTTTCTTTCATTAAAAATGCTATCTTTTCTTGTGGAATGTCTGTCATCTTGAAATAATCAACAAAAATATTAGTGTTTTCTGCTGTTAACTGTGTGTTAGAAATTTGAGAGAAAATACTAGAATGTAGGTTTGAAAATGATATAAATTAGACTTCAGTTCAAGGAATACTTAAGAAGATTGGTGGCAGGAAAGGCTTGTGAGTAATTTAGTTGTTAGGCTGGGTTAGGCATCTGTGGATTACATCAAAGAGGATGTGCAGAGGTTTTATTGGGAGCAGTGAGGTGACTTTGGCAGCCAACAGGCCACTAGTATCTTCTACTAACGCTTTTGTCTGGATAGGAGCAACATTGCGTGTTTACAGTCTTGCAGGTAAGAGACCTTGGCAAATAATCCTCAGTTACCAGAAGATGTATCCTGTAACTGCCTAGCTTGCCTGTCAGTTTTTAATAGCTAAAGATATAAATCTGGGTAATCTAACTCAAATGGCTTAGTTTCATTGTAACTCAAATGATATGGGGAATTTTATGATCTTGAAAGAGCAGGTTTTGCTTTGAGAAGCCATTTCTTAAGTATGGAATAATGAGTTGTCAGGAAGATTGAGTACAGTGGGCATTTGCCCTGGTCCTAATCAACAGCATTTGGACCCAGAGGAAGCCAGCTATTTTTGTAGGGGCCGTTTCTCATCATTACGTTTTCAAGTGCTTTTTTAGGGTTTGTCTAGTAAAAAGCATTATTTTGAAAAACAAGCATAATAAGGGTAGGGGGTTGTGGCATTTCATAGTACATTTTTAAAAGCTAATGGAAATACTGATTTTTAAAACAAGATTTAGGACAAATTCCTTAGGAGTCAGTCACACTAATGCATCTTCTGAGTCAAGAACTGGCTATCCTCTCTGTGTACTCAGTCCAGAATTGCATGTGGTGGGGTGCTTACTTCTTTGCAGAATCAATCAAAAATTCTCACTCTCAAGATAGCAGAAATAGGTAAGTTTCAGCTGACAAATCTGGTACAGAAGTCATGGAAAGGAAGGCAAGTCTTTTACGAGGCATCCGCATCTTTCAGGACTAGGGAAACAAAGGAGGAAAACTTGATTTTACTGCTTGTTAACTCTACTGAATACCTCTTTGAATGTCAGTTTCCTTATCTGTAAAACAAAGGTTTTGCATTTGGTTATCTCTAAGATCCCCTTCTGCCCCCAGTTTTAAAGTTTGACAGGGAAAGAGGTTTAAGTCACGATACCAGGCCAGGGAGGAAAGGAAGGGAGGGCACAGGCCTCTGGAGTTCAGCTGCCTCCTACATCAGGATTGAAGTTCCAGCTGCTGGCCACTGCCTTGAGGGAGGTGTCAGCCTTTTACTTCTGGATCTTGGCCTCTCCTTGTTCTACCCCTTCCCAACAACAACTGAACTTACCGAGTGCTTGCTATGGCCCAAGCACTGCTGCAGGTGAAGCTGCGGCATGAACAAGATTTTAAGCAACAGCTCTGCTCCCCAGGCCCTCTGCAGACAGTATATCTGCAGGAGACAGACACTAAGTGAGCCAATGGATATGATAACTGGCAAAATGAGAAGTGCTATGAGGGAAAGAAGTTGCAACTGTTTTCTTAGCTACCTGGAGGGAGGGAAAATCATTTTCTGGAAGTTTTTTTCTAGGAGTTTTGTCTTAACTTTGGCTGCCATAACAAAATACCATAGACAGTGGCTTAAACAACAGAAATGTATTTTCTCATACAGTTCTGCAGGCTGGAAGTTGAAGATCGGGGTGCCAGCATGGTTGGGTTTTTGCGAGGGTTCTCTTCCTGGCTTTCAGATGGCCGGATTCTCACTGTGCCATCACCTGGCAGGGAGAGAGAGAACACGTGAACTCTGATGGCTCTTACACAGACACTAATGACATCATGGGGCCTCTACCTCATGACCTTAACTAAACCCAGTTACCTCCCGAAGGCCTCATCTTCAAATACCATCAACAATGGGGATTAGGGCTTCAACATCTGAATTGGGGGTGGGGACACAACCTTCAGTCCACAGTAAATTTGTCATAGGAACCTGAAGATGACCAGGCAAGCACAGTTTTTAGAATTTACATAAGTTGTAGATTAGTGTAATTACTGTTTTTGCCTCTGGCTGAGAAACTTTGGGTCAAAACGAGCCTTTTAGAATACATGAATTAGTTATCTAGGTAGCCCTGAAGTTGGCTCTAGATTTATTAGAAGCTATTTTAACTATTGCATTCACTCAACAAACCACCGCCTGTCTATCCGTAAAGCTCCCTCACAATAAATTCATCTCAGAAATTTGTAGTCTCTAGTCCATGCCCCCAACTGCCGAATGGGTAGGCCTAGCTCAGCACAGTCATTCGGGCATTAAATATGATAGAAATGTGGTCCACCTTAAACAACAGTTGGCTTGTTTAATCTGCACTGCTTCACCAAGGACGTGTGATTTGTGAGATGCTGGAGGGGAACCAATTGTAGGAGTCAGCCTGAGTGTCAGCCTCATCTGTCTACGCTGACTTTTGTCTGCTCTCTGGCAGACACTCCGTCTCCCTTTTCAATTTTCTACCCTGGAAGTGCTCCCCTCCAGGGAGGAAGATGAGTCAGATTTGCAACTGTGATGCTAGATGATTCAATAGAGGCAAAAACGCAGAACAGAGGAAAATGCATGGTTTAATCGGACTCAGTTGCAAGTGGGCAGGGTAGGTGATGGAGGGCAAGTCAAAAGCATAACGATGTCAAGCTTTGGTAGAACCCAGCAAACTGGAAGACTTCAGGAGGATTGGAAAGGAATGTGTACGGGAAAGTTGTCTGAAATGCCGGGACAGCTTTCTGTGTTGCTTTTCTCACTGCCTTAGAATTTAGAGTCAAAATAATAATAATCTCTTCTTCTTTTAGATAGCCTTCCTGGCTTCAACCCACAATCTGTCTAGATTCTAGACAGTGGTTCTCAACCCTATCAGAGTCAATACTCCAGTCTTTAACAACTAATTTGAAGAGTTCCTTTTATAACAAAAACCTTAATTTATTCTTTATCGTGCTACTCTAACAATGTTGTTGGTCCCTACCCCTACCGCATACCCCTTGGTGGTTACCATTTTGGTGCACTCTGGGCCCACTCCAGCTGCTAGCCCCTCCAAGCCCCTCTGAAGGTATGCATGTTGCATGCTGGAAGAGCCAGAAATAATGCTCTCTGGGAAGAGGTCTCAACCTGTTGGCTCTCAACAGGGCCCAAGGGAGTGAGGGTATTTATACACCAAATTTGCCATTGGTGTATAAGAACCCTCATGTGGCCATTGGTGTATAAATACCCTCATTCCCTTGGCCGGTGTTCCCCCGTGGGATTAGGCTCTAGTTGCCCACAGTGGTTACTTCTTGGTAACAACCTATTACTGGCTTTTTCGCCTTCCCTGCCTCAATACCCTACTCCCCATTGTGTATTAAACCTGTGCAAAAGTGTCTTGTGTTTACATGTAAAGAAAAGTTTGTGTCTAGATTCAGATAACTACAGGGTTTTTTTGTTTTTCAGTGACATGAAAGTTCAGTGGGACATTTGAAAGTTATACAAGGTATGAGGCGATTCTTCATTGTGTAGGGCAACTTGTAGAAAACTTTGCTTCAAGAGCAGTAGGCATGTTTTCTTTGCCTGTGTTTTCTTAATCCCTTCCTCTCCTACCCTGCTGGCTGAAATGTAGATGTGATGGCTGCAGCTGCAGCTGCCATCTTGGAGCAGGTAGACAGAACCATACTACATCCTAGGGTGGCAGAGCAGTGAGCTGGAAGGAACCTATTCCCTGAGAACTTCATGGAGCAAGGCTGCCCTATTAGCCCTGCATTCTCTCTGTCTCTGAACTTTCACATGAACAAGACTATAAAATACTCTGCTAAGCCAAAATTATTTTGGGTTTCTACTTCTTGAAACTAAATCTACCTAAAGCAATATCAAAAATAAACCTTAAAATAAACATTTCAAACTAATTTTCAAAGACTGGCATTAAATCTGATAGGGTTAAGAAAACTGTCTAGGCCAGGTGTGATGGCTCACACCTATAATCCCAGCACTGAGAGAAGTCAAGGTGGGAAGATTGCCCAGAAGTTGGAGACCAGCCTGGGCAACATAGTGAGACCCCATCTCTACAAGAAGTTAAAAATTAGCTGGGTGTGGTGGCACATACCTGTGGTCCCAGATACTCGAGAGGCTGAGGTGGGAGGATCGTTTGAAACTAAGAGGTCAAGGATGCATGATATGAGCCATAATCACTGCACTCCAGCCTGAGCAACAAAGTGAGACCCTGTCTCAAAAAAAAAAAAAAAAAAAAAGGAAAAAGAAAACTGTCTAGACGCTATACAGATTGTAGGATTGAGCCAGGAAAACACTCTAGAAATAAAACCAAACAAAACAAGAAAACAGATCATTACAGTGTTGTCTCTAAATTCTAAGAGTGTGCCTCAGTAATAACCCATAATTCATGCAATTGTGACCAGACCAGCTAGTCCTTCTATGAAGAACTATAAGGTGCAATGAGAGGAAATTGGGGTACCTGAGTGCAGCTGGTCCACGGAAGACTTTTCTGAGCTCTAGGTAAAGTCAACTGGGTAAAGAGGTGGAAGATAAATAAATATAATATTTGTCATTTATTTTCTTAAAATGGGTAGGGATGGTTTCCAGGAAATCAATTCTTGTCAAAGGCTAAAAAAATGTTTTAAAACATGGAGTTAGGGGGAGCATTTTATGCAATAGTCATTTTCTCTTCCACGCTGCTGGTGATGGTTAAGAGTAGGCACCACAGGGAAAGACTGTGTTTCATTTGATGTGTATCCCAATGTGTCGCACAGGGCCTGGCTTCTGAGGAAATGCTGTTGAAAATATATTCCAGTGTGCTGAGAGCTGGTGGCCAGTGTGACTGAGTGAGCTGTGTGCCGTGTATTGACCTGCTTCCTACTCCTGAATTCCTTTTGGAAGCTCCGGCAGGGAGGATGATACAGTCAGACAAAGGAGCAGATCCACCAGACAAGAAGGACATGAAGCTTTCTACAGCCACCAATCCGCAGAATGGTATGTGTCACCAGGGCCCCTTTTCTAGACCAGAAAGTAGTATCACCTCTGACATGTGATCAAATCAATAGGCAGGAATCCTGACAGACTTACTGCGATCCCTATGAGGATCTTGTATGTTTTTGGTTGCACTACTGCCCTAACAGTGATAACTTTAAGAGCAAATTTCAAGCCAGGAAGGAAATAAATAGACATGGTGGATTCAAAACCTTTTTTACCCTTACCCAACAATGTTTTATGTAAAACTTAGAACTTCTTAAGATGTTCACATTCAAAATATCACTACAACACTACAAAAATACTGTAAAAAAAAAAAAAAAAGAACATTCACTAAAATCTGTTTAGACCCTTTAATCAGGAGAACACTGAGCTTTGCATTAAAAATCTCTTGGGAATTAGAATTTTTCAATATCACAGTAAGAATTTTTTGAGAGGATGAAATGACTCTTATGTTTGAGTTAGAGAAAGAGGATACAGAACACAACTAAATAATTTTGGGATAAATGACAGTCTGGTAAGATGGGGGAGGGGAAAGCAATCATTTTCCTTTCATGACGTCTTACATCTGCACATCACGATCTATTATTTTACTCAATGTTAAGAACACTGTGACAAAGCTAGCACCTTCTCATCTTGGGCAAAGAAACTGGGTTTCGGATAGTTGTGTGACTTTGTGACGTTCACAAAGTAAGAGATGGAACAGGGCTTGAAGTCAGATCTTTTGGTGTGAAATCAAGTGTCATTTCCACTCCTGGTGAGACCCCATGGCATGCCCCAGCTGTCTGAGTTGCCTTTCACATTTACACCTGCACCTGCCACCCCATCTCTGCTCTCTTCCTTTCCTAGGCCTCTCGCAGATCCTGAGGCTTGTGCTGCAAGAGCTGAGTCTGTTCTACAGCAGAGACGTGAATGGAGTGTGTCTCTTGTATGATCTCCTCCACTCACCGTGGCTTCAGGCTCTGCTAAAGGTGAGTGCAGTTTGCTCGGAAGCCTTTGCTTGCTGAAGGGGTTGTGGGGAGTGTGTAGAAAAATGACTGTTTCAGTCCATTCAGGCTGGATAGCTGAATAGTTTATAAACAACAGAAATTGATATCTCACAGTTCAGGAGGCCAGGAAGTCCAAAATCCAGTCGGCAGCAGATTCAGTGTCTTTTGAGGGCTCCCTCTCTGGTTCATAAATGGTAACTTCTTGCTGTGTCCTCACATAGTGGAAGGGACTAGCCAGTTCTCTGGGGTCTCTTGTATAAGGGCGTTAATTCCATATTCATGAGGGCAGAATCCTGATGAGCTATCGGCTCCCAAAGACCTTACCTTTTTTTTTTTTTTTCTTTTTTGAGACAGAGTCTCGCTCTGTTGCCCAGGCTGGAGTGCAGTGGCGCAATCTTGGCTCACTGCAAGCTCCACCTCCCAGGTTCACGCCATTCTCCTGCCTCAGCCTCCCAAGTAGCTGGGACTACAGGTGCCC